GTCACTCATCGCTCTTTCCTGATCACGTGATCTGCCACTCTCAGTGTCACTCATCTCTCTTTCCTGATCATGTGATACATCCTGTCTTTCCACCGATAAAAATAATTTCTCCTTGGTCAAAATCACAGAGACGAGCCATATATGACAACTTGTGCTAGGATAAATTTACAGGCTACATTTTCACCAACAGAAATATTTCTATAAGGACGAACAGGAGAAGAAAATGAACTATAACACCTCAACCTTACACAGCAATTCTTTGATTCCTGGTGCCATCCTCATCTTTGCATTTATTTATTTATGTTACTATGCGTCTTATCCAAGGAGCCCGAGTGGGGTAGTGGGTTATACATTGGGCTGCTAATTGCAAGGTTAACGGAAGGTTAGAATCCACCTTCCATTCCACGGGAGAAAGATGAGGCTTGCTGCTTATGTAAAGATTTACAGGCTTGGAAACCCAAAGGGGCCCTTGCACTCTGTCTTCTGGGGTCACGGGGAGGCAGAATTGTCTTGACAGCAGTGTTTGACATTGGATTCCTACCCATTCTCACAGAACATTATCATGGTCGAAGCAGAACACTTTTGCTCCATTTACAGTTCTGTAAGCATAACTTTATTAGTTGCAATTTATTTTTGGATCAAATTGCGCTACTCCCTGACACGTCTTTTATTCACCTCATTTATTATCTAGTGGCTTTACTCAGTGGCTAATGAAAGTCTCTCGACTCCACCCAAAGCCTACTCTCCCTCCTGCTCTCCTAAATAGCGCTGATCAAATTAAATTAAGATCAGGGAAGCAATAATCCCACCCTTTCCCTCCATCTTAATGATTACGGAGAAAACAGTTCTCTGCTCAGTTGGGTGAGCCAAGGCTCCCTCCTGACTCCCCGCGGGGACAAGAGGAAAGCCTGCTCTTGTAAATCTTACAGCTGAGGGAAGTGTGGGCAGTTCTACTGCATCACATGGTGTTACTAAGGTCAAAAGCTACTCAATGGCACAGAACAACTGCATCTTAACCATTAATTCCTCTAAAGTCACTTTTTTAACTGTCCATTCTAAAGAACACATGCTCAAGTGTAAGAAAAGAGTTTTAAAAAAACCCATGCATAACCTGCTCGGCGCGACATGACCATTTTATGGCATGCTTATTCGGTCTTTCCTTTCCCCATTTTTCTAAGTAAGTTTTACCTCACCCCGACAGAAGAGTGCCTAGATTCCAAGACAGGCTTTGAACCTGAGCTGAACCACATAATCACCCTGCAAGCTTGAGTAAGCTTCTTAAATAGGATTCAGTCTTTTTTAAATCCTTTTCTTGGGGCTCGTACAATACAGTCCATACCCCCGTCCATTGTGTGTCAAGCCGTCTGTACTAGAATTCAGTCTTACTGGGACATCTGGACCCTTTTCTTTCTTTCTTTCTTTCTTTCTTTCTTTCTTTCTTTCTTTCTTTCTTTCTTTCTTTTTAAATCATTTTATTAGGGGCTCATACAACTCTGATCATAATCCATACATACATCAATTTTGTAAAGCGCATTTGTACATTCATTGCCCTCATCATTCTCAAAACATTTTCTCTCCACTTAAGCCCCCCGACATTAGGTCTTCATTTTTCCCCTCCCTCCCTGCTCCCCCCTCCCTCATGAGCCCTTGTAATTTATAAATTGTTATTTTGTCATATCTTGCCCTGTCTGACGTCTCCCTTCACCCACTTTTCTGTTGTCCGTCCCCCAGGGAGGAGGTCACA